CTGTAGCTGTATATAAAACGCATGTAGAGCTACAGATCAAGATACACACACTTGTGTATATATGTACATACAAACATACTGAAAGGATTAGTACAATTTCTCCAAAGTACTGTACCTATCTTCAAGAATGCAAAAGAAAATATTTTCAATATATATACCTGGAACAGATTTTAATAATTATCAGAGTAATACCATTAATGGACAAATTGACTGCAATGTAATACTAGCTGGTATGTTTCATAAATGTCAAATTGTGGACCAATATATATAGCCTTTTATTACTTTTCTGTTCTTTCAAATCTTTCTGTTCTTTTAAATCTTATAAATTTTTATTTTAGTCCCATAAGCAACAGACTCCCACAGAAAAATTTATTCAAAATCTTTTGGTATTCCAGTGAATCTGGAATGTAAACTCTGAATGTATTTATAACGATTTATTTCTGGATGGTTATTATCTTAAATTCAAATTGGACAATGTCTATTAGTAAGGAGTATAGTTACCAGCCAATTTTTACTTGTTTGCCCTGAGGGAAAAAATCCTTTAAAAAAAAAAATTCTGGTTTTTATTGGATTTTTGTATTTTAAATTTCGATATTTTTCTACATCAAACCTAGCAAAAATGGAGATGATGGTTTGTGATTTATAATAAACACTTATACAATTTTCAGGCTCCTTTAGGCAAACAAAGAAATTGATGAAGAAATGAATAGCATTGTAGGCTGTAGGAAAACTTTTGGAAGTAGAGCACTTCCATGGAGTCTTGTTTCTGAAATGACTGTTTTCTGAAATTAGAGCTTGGAAACTATGCAAATGATCTAGATTCCTCACAGCTGACACGCTAGAATACAGATAGTGGTGATGACGGTTTTGTTTTTGTTTTGGTTTTTTTGTGCTTTTCATAGTGAAATATGCCCTGAGGGGGAGGCGCCGCCTTTGAGATAGCGGAATTTCAGAGGCAGCACAGGCTGGTCTCCTTGCCTGGGAGGCCCTGCTGAGGGACCAGTTCGCCGCCGCCCATGGGGAGGTGCTCTCTAGTAGGACGCCATTGGAACCTGTCACGTGTGAGCATCATGAACGTGCTGGTTGGCAGCCGCTGCCACCTTGTCCTCCTCCTCCTTCCTTCTTTAAGAAAGGAGCCATAGCTAGGTAAGATTTTTATCAGCTCTCTGTCCAAATCCGGTTTTTCTCCCGTGAGTCCTGGAAGCTTGACTAGAAAGATACTGTTGAAGCCTTCTGGTCACAAACTGTCTTCTTTAACCTCTCGTCCTTCCTGCAACACACTGGCCCCTGTAGTCCTATCACGTTTGTAATCTGATTTGCTGACAGTCCTGCCCGCCCTGCTCCTCATTTTCCCATGCGCCCTGTGTCCCCACTGAGGTGGTGGCAGTGAGTCAGACGAGGGTGTTGAGGATCACTGCCGCACCGCGATGCCCTCTTCGCCTTGGCTCCGAACCCCACGTCAGATATGTCCTCTGTGTACTCAGGATCAAGACTGATGTTTACTCTCTGGGCACTGTTATAAGATAGGTGTTGTCAAAGCATAATCATTGTCTGCAAAGTGTTTGGTGCAAGGAAGATTATTGCTAATTTTGTGAAATAAAGAGTCTCGCCCTCTTCTTTTAATGGACTAAACTCTCACTGGCATCTGTAGCTTCGTTGGGAGCTTGGGCGCACATGGAAATCCATGCCCAGCGCACGGATTCTAATGTTTTCCTAACAACTGTGGAGATTTGAGGGAATGCGTGGTGAATGTAAAATATCTAGTTTACTTGGCAGTCTCTTGTGTAAATTACAGTAAAACAAAGTAAATGAAATTGAAACAAAAAATAAATTTGATCACAAAATGCCACTTGTGTGCTTGAGTGGTTGTTTCCCCCAGTGCCACGTCTAGGTTCAGCACGCTGCGGGCCACTTCTCTGCCGCTTTCTCAAGAAGTCTCTGTTGTGCGGCCCTGCCACTGTGGGAAAAATAAAGGAAAAACACGGTTTTTAAAAATTTTTCACCGCAAACTCCTATTCATGAAATGTGTCTATACCATATTAACCTGTTACATTTGCTTTCTTAGATAATTTTCTGCTTTTAAAAGTAAGCAGAAAACTAAAGAAGGGTTATTTCTTAGCAGTCTCAGAGGTTTTTTTTTTTTTTAATTATGTTTCAAGGGGAAAAATAGGGAAAACCCATAGTATTTCTAGAAGCACTCAGTGAGGATTTTGTCATCAGCCTCTGATTGTTTGAAGATGGTGGCTTTTTGGTTTGGGACGGCGTTTCACCTCTCCTGAGACCTTGTCATTTCCACTCTTCTTGTTCTGGGACACCTCACAGCTATTTTCTCATGGTCCCATCTTACATTCTAGAGCTGCTCAGCATTAGGAGAGGTGGCCAGCTGCATGGATGGGTTCATACAGAATGTTATATTTCCAGGTGATCTTTGTTTCCTGAGGTGATTGTCGTAGTGTTTATCTCAGAGTTAGCGTTTGTGTTTGCAGGGCCAGTCTGTCATTCTGGATGCTGAGCGCTAAAGCTCAGCACTCGGGTCTCGCCAAAGGCAGCAAGATGAATAAAAGCACACAGTCCAGTGTGGGAGACACACACGCACAGACGATTACAGTTCAGTAGGATAATTGAAAGTTTAGACGTCATCCACATCGTGCAGATGCGAAAGCAAACGTTGAGGCCGAAGGCGGCTGGGCAGGGCGGCGGGGACCCAAGGAGCCTAGGGTGTTGCTCTTGGGCGGGCACTGCCAGCAGGGGGCCTGGGGTCAGGATCACCCCTTCTGGCCTCTTGCTGAGTCCTGGAGTGCCCAGCTGCGGTGTTCAGGGTCAGTGTCCCTGAGCATATGGGGCGCCCTCACTCACTGTGATCTTTCCCTTCCTGTTCAGTTGCTTTACCAGACTGCCTCCTGGTTGATCTAAAATCACAGTGGCCCCAACACCTGGCTTTTATAAAGCTCACCTCTCTCCCCATTTCCAACTTGCTAAGCTGTAGAGTTTCACAGCCCCGCCTCCTCCTCATGTCTTGTCTCTGAGGAATAGACACTTAACTGTTCATCTCCTCTCAGCTGCGTTGACAAGGTCAGTGTGTAATACCCTGTTCTTGACCATTTGGAAAGGTGAATGTTGTTCTGCCTGTTCTTAGACCCTCCAATCCGACATTCGGAGAGCCATGGAATGTTACGATGTTTGATGACTTAGGATTTTTTTTCAAGTTGCCCTCACTGGCAGTTGTAGAGTTTGGGACTTAGAATGGTTGGGAGGGAGGGAAAGCGCTAGGAGACAGGTGGAAGATTATCCCGCTGAGCTTGGAGCAAGCATCCACTGCCCACAGGGAGTGCTTCCTAGGAATCCTGCCAGGGTCACTTGAGGTTATGTCTTCTGACTTGGAAATGCTAAGCAACAGCAGGTCTCTTCAAAACCAGTTCTTCAACTAGACTGGGTTGGGAAGAGTAGAAATTGCGGCTATTCCAAGGCCATGTCATCCGAGGCCACGCTAGGCATTTGAAGCGGTGCTCAGCACTTGGAGGCACCTGATGCTTCGATGCCCATCCCTTTTTTCCTTCTGAAAGTGCCATGTTGCCAGCTTACTGTTTAAAAGGGATTCAGGACTAACTCGGTTTGCTTCCCCAACTCCCCAAGATCGCTTGCACTCCCCTAGGGTGGTGGGGGTTGGGGAGTGGAGGACCCCTGCTTCCTGACCTCCTCATGGTTTCTCCTCCATCGAGTTAAATCACAAATTAAAATCTGTCCCTGGATGACTCTCTCCCCAGGCATCTGAGGGGTTCCCATCTCTTGAGTGTTTGTTCTGTCCTGTTAGGGTTACTGGTTCGAAAAAATTCAGTGCATGTAAACCAGAGGTTCTCAGCCCTGGCAGCACCCTAGAGTCACGTGGGGGAGCCTTTAAAAGTATAGGCTGCCCACCAGTTGCCTTTTCTATGGCTTGGGTTCAGTGTGCCCTGTTTTCAAAGGACAGGGAAAGAGAGCCCAGAGAATTCCCACCTTCTTCCTAGGAGATCACTGAGAAGACCGCTTTGTCTCCAAGCAGTCAGACTCCTACCCGGTTGACAAAGCCCAAGTACCACTTGCTCCACGCAGCCGGCCTTAACCTGATGGAGTCTCTGCAGTAGCCCACACCCCTCATGTGGCACCTGTGGACTCCGTGCTGCCTCAGTAGATTAATCGATGCTGTCATCTTCTGAGTCTGTGTGTTTTGCATCCCAAGTTAGCTTGGGACCTCCTTGTGGGCAGGAGCCGCCGTTGTCCCCCCCCCCCCCCCCACAACCCCGGTCGCCTCCCCTGATGGGCACTTGGACTCTGAAACTGCTCTGTTCGCCCACAGCGCATCCCTGCCCGCCCTGTACAAGGCCCCTTTTGAGTCTGGGGGTCAGAGGGGAGGGGAGTATAGCCCCCACATCAGTAAGGTCTAATGTCTGCTGTAGGAGAATTAAAGCGTGACAATGAGCTGCAACAGGATGTAGTAATTGTGGAAGCTGACGGTGAGAGGACAGAGGAGGGAGCTCCAGGTCCGCGTTTCCCCCTCTCTCTTCAGACATCTAAACCGGAGCTTTGGTAGGCTCCTCCAACTCAAGAAGTCTTAAACCAGATTCAGGTCTTTCCTCCTTCCCCCAGGCCTACTGTCTTCCATCAGGTACCTGCATCTCTGGCTGCACGGCCCAAGCCAGGAAGCCTGTGGTCCCTGAGTCTTCCAAGTGCCCGCCAGTGTCTGTGATAACCACCTCGCGCTCCTCTCTGGGGTCCGGCCCAAACCACCCTCTCCTCTAGGGCAGGGGCCCGCCAACTTTCTGTCGAAGGCTGGACACTGAATATTTTAGGCTTTTGGGGCCATAGGGTGTAGCACCGCTCTTCAACTCTGCCCTTGTAATGCAAAAACAGCCACGGGCAGTATGTAAACAAGTAAGTGTGTCTGTTCTGATAAAACTTTATTTACACTATTAAATAGGTGGTGGGCTGGATTTGGCTGCTGGGGCCAAAGTTTGCCAAGCTCTGGTCTAGAGCCCGGATACCCTTAATCAGGCTGTGCCACCTACAGGTGACTTTCTAGGACGCCCCTGATTGTGCCGCACCCCTCCTTGAACACTGCATGGCTCTCTGAGGCCCGGAGCAGTGCAGCCAAGGCCAGCGGCCAGCGAGAGCCGCCTCCTGCCGTCTGTGAAGTGGGGCCAGCACTGCTCGTCTACCTCCTGGCCGTTGGGTGGTCAGGCCTGGGTGGAAGGGACCGTGCGTAGCGTGGATGTTGCCCATGGAAAGCGCTCAGCATAGGAAGACAGTTGCTGTTGTTTGCCATCAGATTGCCAACCCATACCAACCGAAAGTTGAAGGGTAAGAGCCGTGATGGGCTAACAAAAGCTGTTGGTGTCTGAAATACAATGAAGATAATGCTGGTTAGCTAAACTTCTCAACTGGCATGTGTTAACTTCACTGTCTGTCGTCTGTTGTCCAGAAAATACCATCTGTGGCTGTTAAACTGAATGCTGTGCTCACGGAAAAGCTCATAGATGCCCTACATGTTTTCCGCGATTAGAATTTGGCTCTCTAGATACCATTGCTAACAGGTTAACCCGAGCTTGGCTTCGTGACTCCTAATGGGGCACGCTAAAGCCAGGCCTTTGCCTAGAAAATCAGCCCCGTTTTCCCAGAGTCTGTGACACTCAACCCCGGGTCGACTCTTGTTTACTCCTTGAATTTCTGAGAAGCGGTAAAGCACCATGACATGCCTCCGCCTTGTTGATCCCTTATATATTCTGACACCACCTGCTAATCAGTCAATAGCAGAATTGCCTTGCACTCCAGACCGAGGGAGGTTCATGAAGTGGAACGGAGGAGTGGCTTACAGTGTTTATTAATGTATGTGCTAAACAAAAGCTTCGCCTCTGGGCATCCCGTTGCATGCCGGCTCCCCGCAGCCTGGAATACTGATGGCCTGTTCTCTCAGAGCTGACTCCATTTTCCCATGGCCTGGGAAGCCCTGAAACAACTCAGCCTACCAAGAGGTTCTATGAGTGTTTTGTGGCCATCACTCCAAAATGTCATCCCCAGAGAGGCACTGTGTAGGACGAGAGACTTCTCCCAAGTAAGGCCGGAGGGAGGCTTAGAATCAGGCCCAGAACACCCATGCGCAGACATTGCTCGAGCCCTTCCGTTCCTTTCTTTAGGTGAGGGGTCGGCAAACTTTCTCTATAAAGGGCCAAATAAGTAAATATATTGGGCTTTGTGGGTCATGCAGACTCTGTTGCAACTACTCAACTCTGCCTCTGTAGCATGAAAGTAGCCTTAGATGTAATGTAAACGAACGAGTGTGGTGGTGTTCCAATAAATCTTTATTTACACAAACAGGTGGTGGGCCGCATTTGGCCCAAGGGCCATAGTTTGCCAATCCCTACTCCGGACTCTTGCCCCAAAAAACAGCCAGCACTTAAGAGTGCATGTCAGGTCTTGTTCTGAGCATGACACATAAATGACCTCACTGAATCTTCACAACCGCCTTGTGAGCTAGGTACTGCTATCACCCCCCTTTCTACAGATGAGGAAACTGAGGCCCAGACTAACGTTGCCACGTCCCATTACCGAAAGCGGCGGAGCCACGGTTATAACCCAGGGAGTCACACCGGAGTCACTCCTAGCCGCTGCCCATCCACCTCCCTGTCTTTCAGGACCGCTGAGGTCCATGCCTGTGGCATTTACCAAGAGTCGAAGGAAGGAGCAGCCCTAATGATAAAAATTCTATCGAGGACCCTTTGTTCTTAAACACCCCTTAGGAGCAACCTTCCATGACTGATTCTTCCCAGAGCCCAGAGCCAAGAAAACATTTTTTCCTAGACAGTGTCGAATTTCCCCCTCAGTCTTTGGTGTCAGGCAGCTCCCATGTTGCAGTTTGTGTCCAGCTGAGGCAACCTCTCCAGGCAGTCTTCCTGGCATAACTCCTTCACCTCCCCCTCCACCAAACCCGGCCCCCCCTTCTCAGCCCCCACACTTGGTCTGTGCGATGGCGCTATGCAAATGGAAGGTTTTTGCTCTCCTGTCTCCGTGCCTCCTGTGTACGTCACCTCAGAGTATTTGGGGGAAAAGGTTTAGCGAGAACTCTGAAATGCGTGTGCAAACACAAACATTGTCTGCCACGTCGAGGTGAGAAATCAGAGCTGCAGTCACTCCTCACCTGCAGGAAATCTCGAGGCCTGTGAACATCTGGAAGGGAGCCGCCGGGGTGGTTTTGTTAACATGGCACGATTGTGGGTAGTTCTCCCCCACCGCCCCCGACCCCCCCGAATTGTCTTCGGTGTTTCACTTTACAAGAGAATCTTATTGAAAACTCGATTTGTACTGCGCCAGGCCTTGGGAAGCCTTCCCCATACGCGAGTGCCCGGCGTGCCTTTTATCACTGGGGCTAAGATCTTTTGCTTCTGCAGCTGGTGGCCCATGAGCTCACTCCTCTTCCGAGGCGCGTGCCAGAAAGCCGTCGCGGGAGGGATTTCAGGATTCCTCCCAGCCCCTTCCAAACCCAACAGGCTCAGATTTTCCACTTGTGTGATTGAGGTCAGCGCCTGCCTTCTGGCTGGCGGGCTCCCTACACATGGGAGCGCCAGGCCTCAAGCAGGGGCTTCTCCCACTTGCCCTGGAATTCACCCCCCATCGTTGGTCCTCTCCATCCCGGGGCTGTTTGTGCGCCGCCTGGCCCCCAGGATCCGGGGGGCGCTCTACCCGTGGCTGAGGACAGCCTGGCCCAGCCCTGGCTCAGGGCCACCAGGATGCAATGTTGGCCCCTGTGTTTGCTCAGGCCTTTGTGTGAGTCCGGAGGAGTCGTCTGGCCAGGTGAGGAACAGTGGGATGACTGTTGCTTGCGAAGAACTTCGTTCCCTTCCTTGCCAGCCTACCCAGAGAATGTGGAGCTTGGCAGCCATGACTGCTGCCACCGGGTTTTACTAACGGTCGCTGCTGCTGTCTCCCCGCGACCCTCCAAGAGGCCACGATGGACATGGGGGTTTTGGCATCCGATGCCTACATTCCGAGTCTGCCACGTCCACTTACTGAGCCGCAGGCCAGTGAGTACGTCTCAGCCCCTCTGAGCCCCTGCGTCCTGCCCATGAAGGTTGGGGTACTAACACTGACACGAAATACGGCCCTGAGACAAGAAATGTATAAGTAATGGGTGAAAAATCTCTCCAGCATCGGATTTGCTGCTTAGTTGGTCTCCTAATCAGTGAGGACGAACAGCCATCCCAGTTCACCCGGGATAGGGGAGTTTCCTGGGAGGCTGGACCGGGACAGTCCTGGGCAAACGGGGGACAGCGGGTCGCCTTATTTTCAGCCCCAAATGTCCACATTCTTTAAGCCGGCAGCATTCATTTAAAAACAAATAACAAAAGCCGAACGAACGTAGTATGGGGGACAAGCAACTTAGTTTTGTAGCCTGATGTGCCCCCGAACTAGCTGCCTAATCCTCTCTCCAGCCTTCATAGGGCACAGAAGATTTCGGGGTAGGGTGTGCAGACTGGGTGGAAGTCGCTCTCGGAGGAGCTGCTGACCTGGGGGCCCCGGCAGCACTTGGCTCAGGCTGGCCCATTCCATGGGGGAGAGCGTGAATCCCTCCTCCACCTGAGCATCCCCTGCTATGGCTCACACTTCCACCCTGACACCAGCCCCGGGGAGCGGGGAGTTCTCACATTTCCCCATCCTTGAGGAAACTAGGGCGCACACCGGTCAAGAAGCTGCCCTCCGCTGAAAAGAGGCAGAGCTTCCTGCAGCCAAGGGGCTCTCCAAAAGGGAGGTGGATCGCCTCATTCCATCTTTGCTTTGAGGACAGGGACAAACCTCCTCACTGTGCCTGACTGGGCCTGGCCACCCTCTCCACCCTAGCCCCTCGCCTCCATGATCCAGGATCTCGTGACCAAAGGCCACGGTGTCCTCTAGGCCCAGAGTCCCTTTCCCTCCCCCGTTCATCCTTCGGCCTCAGCCCAGGGTCCAGGTCCTCGAAGACCCCTCCCTTGACCTTCTGACGAGGCCAGCATCCCTCCCGGGTGCTCTAAGGGCAGGTGCCAGAAGCACCAGCCGCCACCGTTGCAGGCTCGGCGTCTGCCCACCGAGCAGATCCGTTCTGAATGAATGGAGTAGAGAAGCCCCACGTTTAACCCCTCTCCTCCCACGCCTTTTCCCACGGAGCAGCCAGGCCGTCTCTCTTAACCATTAACCACCAACCATTCCCCTGACCCCTGCCAGCAGCTCGGCTGAGGCCACATCCCGGTAGGACCCCTTCCACCTCGATCCCCTCCCATCCTTGGCGAGGAAATATTTCTGTTTTATGACTAACTCTGCTCCTCATTTCTCTCACGTTATCTTAATGAATTAACTGGGTCCCCATCGTTCCCCCGGCCCCCCGGAGTTTATGAGCTGTACAGCGATATCTGCGATCTTAGTCAACCCCACGCAGTTGTTGTGCTGGTTCCTATTACGGTAATTGGCATAAACTTTATTCTTTTGCAGAGAGATTTTTTGGCCCGCTGAGACTGCATAACCATCTGCCATAAATTGAGACTAGTACGGCTTATTTTGGTGAATGCAAAATTGGATCCCATTCTTTACTCTGTGGCTTGATTCAACTTCCAGATGGTTAATCCACATGAAGTAATAGGAATGCACCACAGCTCTGCTTAGCTGAAGATGGAGACGTAATATTTATTTGCTGATGTGGAGGCCTCCGAACGCTGCCCTGTCGGGATGTCAGTATATAACACAGCAGCACAAAAATGTCAGCCTGTTTCATGGGAGTGGCAGCCTTCCTCCGAGTTGCCACGGGGGACCCCCGGATGTCTTTTTTTTTTTTTTTTTGGTCTGCCCTTGACCTAATCTCAAGAGGTTTTGTTCTCTCCTGGGCTGTTTCTTATCAGCTACGTCTGCCCGTGTAGCCGGCTTCGCATCTGCTTTGACTTTAGTGCCTGTGACATTTTCATTAATATTTCTTCAAGGTTGAGCCTTTCCTTCAAATATCTTGCAGCTCACAGAAGCCGTAGCTCAGCTGTGCCCAGCTAGGGGCCGCTGGGAAATTTGGCTCAGCAGTATCAACAAGCTCAGTCATCTCCGCCCAGTTGGGCTAATCAATCCATTTTCATTTTTGCTTCTCCCCACTCTAGCCTGCCACGCTGGGAATGCTCTGAAGGAGATCTAGGTCAGCAGATTCGGGGTGCTTTGACCCCACTGGCACTTTTACTCCCAGGGGTCTTGACTGCCCCCGCTGCCTGGATCACCCCCCCCCTCCCCGCCGCCCCTGCCAGCCAAACTTGCCCTTGTAAACTCCCCACCTACTCTACCTCTGGACTTCAGAGGTGGGCCACGTTACCCCACCTATCCCAGGGAGGACTGGGGCTCAGGGCTTCCTGTCAGCTCCCACGAGACCCTGTGCAACACCTGCGTTTGAATCACTTGGGGAGTGTTTTAAAAATGCATACTCCTGGGTCATGGGAGACCAACCATCCCAGTTTGCTCAGAACTGTCCTGGTTTTAGAACTGGAGTCCTGTGTCCCAGAGAACCCCTAAGGTCTGGGCAAAAGGGGACAGTTGGTCACCCTACTTGGCTCTACTCCAGACCTGCAGAAGGAGAACCCCTGAGGGCTCAGGCCTAGGGTTCTGCATTTTGATCAGTTTCCAGCAGAGACGCTGGCGCACAATTGAACTTGGGAACCGTAGCTGGAAGCCTCAAGTGCCCACAGAGCCCATGCTCTCTCCCTCGTGTGCCCAGCAGAGATTGGATGTATAGGACATTTTGCATGAATTTAGCACCAAACGCCATCATCGTTTACTTCTGTAGAGTGTTTGCTTCCCCGCCGACAGTGAGACCCTCCAGAGAAGAAAGAGGCTCTGCCCCGTTCACTTTTGAATTCTTAGTTCCCAGCTCTGTGCCTGGCCCGCAATCGACACTCCAAACAGACTGGAGGAATAATTAGATACAAGCAAATATTCATGGTAGGGAAAGTGACCCAGACCTGTTTCCCACATACTTTTCCAACGTTCTGGGGTGGACTCGATTAGAAATTAGATCAAGGAAATTCTAGTTAGGGCAGGAATTAGATCTAGGATATTTTTTAAAGGAAGAAAAACCTTGGAAGTCCCAAGATGGAACAAATAAGAAATTAGATCTAAGAAATTCTAAAATGGAATGGACAGGAACTGCGAATGTTCTACGATGGAATCGTTCTTTCTTCCTTGATCGTCCCGGGAGCTTCTGCAGGCAGAAAGTACAAGAGGCCAGATGCCTTGTACCTGATTATCACAGCTCAACATCCCTTAGTGCCTTCAAATGTTGGAAGTCTGCAGCTCCCCAAATAATCATAGCTGTGCATGAAGACGGACTCAAGTATGAGTTCTCCAGGCTGGGTAGGGGGGGACCAGGAAGCCCAGAAAACAAGCTGGGCCAAGGGTAAAGGAGTGGGAGCCAGTGTCTGGCCCCGGCAGGATCTCAGCACCAGGATCCTTCGCTTCTCAACTGGCAGAGCTCAGCCAGGTGATACTCCTGTCACCTGAGTGCAACCCCCAGCTTTATTCTAAGTGATCAGATCTCGCCACCTCATCTGTATGATGAGGATGGAAAGACTCTCCTCTGGATTGTGGTGCAAACATAAAGGATTATTTGCATGGGTTTGCATTGCATGTCTGTGAAAACACTGCCCTTGGCTCAGGGTCCTGGTCTCACACCCTGCTCGCGATCATCAGGTTGGCAAGAGGGAGCAGATGCAAGGAATAGAGTCTGCGACTGCAAAAAGAGCTGGGTGCTCCTTAAGGGATCGAACCCACAGGATTTAGTGGCCATCAGCACGCTTGCTCGAAGGCATCATCTAAGGCCCCAGTGATAGGCTGTGGAAGGAAGCAGGAGACCTGGCTCAACACCCCCACTCCCTGACTGGGTCAAGTGCGCCTCTTACTCCCTACTTGAGATCGTGTAGGCTCCACCTTCAGAATAGGTCCAGAATCCGATCGTCCCTTCTGACTGTGTCCACCACAACAATCCTGACCCTGTCTAGCCACCATCCTTTCTTCCTGGGTGGTGAATCAAAACCTTCCTAACTGGCCCCTTCCCCTCCCACAGAGGAGCCAGAGGGTTTCACGTAAGTATCAGACAGGTCACATCCCTCCTCCTCTCAAAGCCCTGCCATGTAACTCAGATTACAGGTCTCCTTTACTGGGACCCCCACTCTGTCCCCTCCCCCTCTTAGGCCTCCTCTCCCTCACTCCCCTCCAGCCACGCTGGCCTCCTTCTGGCTGCTTCTCCAACACTCTCCAACACTCCAGGCAACTCGCCTCAGGGACTTTGCACCGGCTGTTCCTGAAGTCCAGAACATGCTTCCACCAGAGCCCCTCACAGCTCCCTCCCTTGCCTCACCTGGATGCTCCAGTGTTCCCTCTTCAAGGGGGTCTTCCCAGACCACCTCACATAAAACCAGGCCCTCCGCCTATCTGTCAGAGTTCCTTATCCTTCACAGCACTTATCGCTACTGCACGGTGCACGCATGCACATGCGTGTGTACTGCTGGTCTCTCCCAGTTGGACTGGAAGTTCCAAGAGAGTCAATTTTTCCCTGTCCTCCGTTCCCAGAGCCAGGTGTGGTCTGCACTGGGTGCTCAGGAAGCATGTGCAAGTGAGCCACTCTGACGTTTCTCCCATGTTAGACCAGGCTGGCGACTCTCGGAGAACCACACGGTAGTTGCAAAGATCACAATATAACCGAACAGGGCTGTCCAAACGTAATGATGGCCATTAGCGTCTCTCTACCCCAGAGCGGCGATTCTGGAGCATTCTGTGTAATTGGAGCACAATTAAGCATATGGCAGTGTTTCCACCAGGCCGTACATCTGATTCTGAGCTTCCTCAACGTGGGCTCTGGTTTCTTTCTTTTTTTCCCTGTAACAACAAACCTGGATCCACCATCGGGCAGGCCCCGTGGTCTGGATCACAAGGGAATACTGGGGAATGAGATTCATACTAACAGGATTTAATCCTGAGACATTGGGCTATATATCCAGTGGCGATTTCCTGGATTTTGCAGCCAACATAAATAACAGCCAGAGGATTCCCGCTGTGTGCCGTGAGATGCGTCCTGCTAAGCCGGGGCAGGAAGCTGCCCAGCCTGGGCTGTTATTGATGGACCAGGCAGGGCCTCCCGATGGAATCAGTGGAGGTGCACACGTCCCCTCCCCCCCAGTGCCAGACCCCTCACTGGCCTTGCTCATTCTTCCAGGAGTGCCAGGCACTGTGTAAAGCATTCTCGGGATGGGAGGAGTTTAGAGACCGACGGCAGAGATGAGAATTAGGAAATACATTGGCACCCCATTCAGCCACGCAGTGAAATCCCTCTCCTGTACATACGAGTCTACAGGTCCTGTCTTTCCAACTGGGCTGTGAACTTCCGGAGGGTGAGGTCTGCATTTCAGGTGTCCAGGTCCTGGGAAGTTGGAAGTCATCTGTGGTACCTCATTTTTATAGAAGAGATAACTAAAGAAGGAAAATGTAGGGCAGGGTTAGAAATAACTTGCATCTCCATCCATGGGGAAGTGGACAGATAACATACGGGATGGTCATGCCCTGGAATATTATATAGTAGTTGGAAGGAGGAAGGATGAATCTCGAAAATTAATACTGATGGGGAAAAGAAAATTGCAAATAAGCCACAGAAGATGGTATCTCTTACGTTCTTTTAAAAACCACCTACCCACCCATTGTTATTTGTTGTTCTTGGATACATAAATATGTACATAAAGGGGTGGCAGGTGTCCTGGAACGATGAAGCTACATTAAAAACATGGTGGCCCATGTCCATGGTAGCAGGGAGGGGAACACACTGGTGGGGAAAGTCTGGCCAGACTGATGATAATATCAAGCTCTCCTGGATGAGTGTCCTTTAGGGAATCTGTTAATTCCCATGCACCTGCCAGTCAAAAATAAGTCAGTCGAGTCCTACATTGGGTATAGAGATTACTTAAAAAATATATCGCCAAATAAGTAAGTCAGACTTTCAGTGTCTCCCAGCCTATGGTGGTATAGTCTAGGCCTGGGTCCCCTGAGCCTCAATCTGCCTCTTTTGTGGGTTTTCATTAACTACCTGCTCAATTCATACAACTTCTGCATTCATAAAACCGATATACTAGAAGAGCTTGCTTGGCCAAAAAAAAAATATTCTTTACTGAGTCCTGCAGATAAAAATCTACCTCCTAGTGCATCCTCCCCTCTCCCCGTAACAGTCTGTTGCTCCCTTGATTTGCATGGAACACTGCAGCGTCTGCTTATTCTTGCTGTTCTATCTGTTGCTTTGGCTCTTCTGTCTGCTTGTTGTTGCCCCAGGAGTTTGATCAGTTATAGCACCCCAAGCCTTGGAGGTCTTTTCTCTTCCCCGACTCAAGTTTTTCCTCGGTTCTTGTTTTTTTTTTTTTTTCTTCTCTTTATTCAAACCACGTGTCTTGAATAGCTTCTCTGTGCCATTAGCTCTACTGGGTGGGATCCAAACATCAATACAAGATCGTTCCTCCCTTCAAGGGGGATTCAAATGTAATATCCCCCCTTTCTTAGGCAGGTCAACAAGCGTCAGGCAAGGCCAGGGGTGGAGAAACAGAGATGCCCACAGGGAGCGGTCCTCTGTTCCAAGCAGGAACTCTCATAAAGGCCACTGACACTCAGGCATGTATGCAGAGGAGGGTGGGCAGAGGGGAGAGGGAAGTGGAAACTGGGTTTATAAGAAGGCTGGAAGGGCCTGGAAGTCTACATTCCATTTCAGAGGCAGCGGATATCTCCTCCTGTCTGCAGCACTCAAGGACTAGTAATGTGAGTTTGGGGGAAGGAGGGCCCCAGCTGGGAGTCCACACAGGTTGAGACAATTAGGACGATAATTTGGGTTGAGTCATCTTGGCAGAGGCCAGGAGGAAAGTGTTGGGTGGGTGGGGTCCCCAATCAGCATAATTGCTCCAGACTTCTGCTTCTCCTTGACACAGCAATAAAATAAGTTAATCCACGGCTTGAAAAGGGTTGAGTCTGCTCATGCAACGTGGCATTAACAGCAAAATCTGCCCGAACCTGACACCAGGGTGACCTGGCAAGGACCCAGTCCTGGGGCAGGAGCAGAGAACATGGCGGGCGGTGGGGGGTGGGGGAATAGGCATATTATATCCCTGCCCGGAGCCTCAATGCCCCAATCAGGAAAACAGGAATAATGTCATGTTCTGTCAATTCTAAGAAATCCTTCCCTCCCCACCCTGCATTTTAATAGCTCTAAAATTGGGATGTGGTTTACAACTGATAATGTCCTAGATTTGGTGAAATACGGTGCTAAGAAGAAAAAACTAGGAGAATCATTACAGTTTATGGCATGCTTACTCCGTGCCAGGCACTGTTTCCGGGAACTTTACGGTTTAATCCTCTCAACGACCCTATGAAACGAATACTGATTTCATGCCCATTTTATGGATGGAAAAACTGAGGTTTCAAGGAGATTCATATGCCCTAGTGTCCAAAGCCCGTGAATAACAGATGCAAAGTCCTGTGAAGTGGCCTTTTGATGCTCCCACGTGCACATGTCATTTGGAATGATAGCATATTTATATTTGCAGCCTGATTGCATAGTAGGTGCTTGATTGTTTCTACCATTCCAAGCTGCCCTCTGTTCGGACCATAGCACTGCCAGCCATGTGGAGGTCCAAAAAATGGTTGCTGCCTGCCAGACCAGATGGGTGAACAAACTTCCTGTAATCGATGTCCTGCAACATGTCATGGCCTGGCCCACCCCGGAGGTCACGTGCACACAGTGCAGTAGCTCTGCTCTCCAGCCAGGTGAGTGAGCAGGCTGGCTGCAAACGCCCCCAGCCCCACCCCAGGAGCAGCCTTAGAGCAGGATGGGCGTTGGGGGATACATACCCCAGCTCCCTCGTCTCTCGGCTGGGTCCCCCCAAGTGTAATCTGCACAGCCTCCCCACCAAAAACGAGGAATGACACGTGAATCCCTCACTTGCTGCCATGGGCAGGGGTGGGGCTGACTTCGGGGTGAGGCCTGTGCTGGCCCCGATGGACACTTAGAAGCTGCTGCAGCTCTGAGACTGTGGAAACCACCCTGGGCTCGGAGCCAAGCTCACCGGGGTTCGGATCCCGGCTTTGACCTGGGACAGGTCACATGCCCTGTCTGAGCCTCACTGTTCTCATCTGTGCAGTGGGGGTAATAAAGGTCTCTCTGTGTCACAGGTTGCTGAAAGGTTGCACCGAAATAATGTGTTTAAAGTAGCTCACATGGAGCCACTGCAGGGGCTGGGTCTGCCGGTGGAGTCGAATCCTGGCTTTGGGGACTTCCAACATCTGAGTTTCCATTTCCTTTTATTTGAAAAACAGAGCGGGGGGGATACCCTCACCACGGAGGTATTATAACGATTAAGAGAGATCATATATAAGAAGCTGTGTGGGTCCATGTGTAGTGGCCACACAGCAAATGTTAGCTGGAACCATTGGTGTTAGGAGCCATTCAAATTTATTTTATTCCCCGGACACTTCCTATGCTCCTGTCACACTGATCTTTTTGGGTCCTACCACAGTGCCTTTGCACATGCTGTTTCTACTGCCTGGAGTACTACTCTCTCCTTTCTTTGCTTTGTTACCTCCCCGGAACTTTAGCTCTTAGCTTGTATGGCATTCCCTCAGGGAAGCCCTCTGTGGCCCCACATTCTCTTGGCATCGTGTACCATGCTTTTTACCTGCACTGGTGACACTCTAGAGCTCTCCACTGAACCTGGGGCCTGGGGATGCACTGTGGTTATGAGGCCGTTGCACACCTCAAAGTCATCATTGCTGGGTCAGATTTAATTGTGTGCTAAGGAGCAGATGGCCACCCCGGGCCATCTGACACATCACTCATGTTGGCTCGCCTGGCAGTGCGGCCCCAGTGGGCACGGGGGACCTTTGTTCTCGAGACTCACGCACGAGTCAGGCTGTGGCAGTGCGGATATGTTCCAGGCCATTCCTGTCGCGGAGGCTCCTCTGGCCAATGTCGCTCCTGGTCTGCAGTGGGAGACTTGCGACCAAGTCTTGGGGGAGGGGTACAGGGTGGGGGGACAGTGAGGGCGCAGGAATGGTCGGCAGGGGGAAGAGAAGGCCCCGGAGGCAAGAGTTTTGTCTTCAGCTCTCATGAGGGCGGTAGAAGGTGCTGGCGTAGGCCAGGGAGGGCACCCAGGTCCCCGCAGGGGCTCACGGTCCCCCCTCAGAGTCAGCTGCCCAGACTGTCCCAGCAGGACTGTATGCAAATGGCTGCCCTCCCTGGCCTCGATGTCCTCATCTCTAAAATGGGAATAATAGTACTGGTGGGATGAAGGGATGTAACCGTAAAGAAACTCTAAAAACGAGCTGAGGTGCTGCCACCCTGACCCCACAGCGATGTTCTTCCTGCGCTCTGCTCCTGTCCCTCCCCTTCTTGTCCTGTGTGTGCACACTTAGCTTACGTGGCCACAGGCACAGTGCACGTTCTGCTATTCCTTTTTTTTTTTTTTTTTTAAGATTTTATTTATTTATTTGAGGCAGAGAGAATGAGAGAGAAAGAGCACAAGAGGGGGGAGCGGGAGAGGGAGAAGCAGACTCCCTGCCGAGCAGGGAGCCCGATGCGGGACTCGATCCAGGGACTCCAGGATCATGACCTGAGCCGAAGGCAGTCGCTTCACCGACTGAGCCACCCAGGCGCCCATGTTCTGCTATTCCTAACCTTCTGTCCCGTCCCACTTCCCGTGTGTCTATGTGCTTCCCCTGGTTCGCGGTTTTCGTGGGTGCTAGATAGTCTGTGCAGTGGTGTCTCCGGAGTAACTAAAGCGTGCACACACATGCTCACACACATACACACTTGCATGCTCACACGCACACCTACACTCACCCACACACAAATACACACACATATACACACACTTACACTCACACACATATACACACATACACACGTGCACACTCACACACACGCACACCTGCACTCACCCACACACATTCACACACATACACACACGCTTACACTCACACACACATACACACATACACACTTGCACACTCACACACGCACACCTACACCCACCCACACACATTCACACACACACATATACACACGCTTACACTCACACATACATACACACTTGCACGCTCACACACACACGCACACCTGCACTCACCCACACACATTCACACACACATACACACGCTTACACTCACACATACATACACACACTTGCACGCTCACACACACACCTGCACTCACCCACACATTCACACAGACATACACACACATACACACGCTTACACTCACACATATACACACACACACACTTGCACACTCACACACACGCACACCTGCACTCACCCACACACATACACACACTTACACTCACACATACATACACACACTTGCACGCTCACACACACACCTGCACTCACCCACACATATACACACGCTTACACTCACACACATATACACACATACACACTTGCACACTCACACACACGCACACCTGCACTCACCCACACACATTCACACATATATACACACATATACACACGCTTACACTCACACACACACACACTTGCACGCTCACACACACCTGCACTCACCCACACACATGCACACACACATACACACATATATACACACATATGCATACACAACTGTACACAGGCACACACATACATATACACACACATATACACACTCACATACACACACACACAGTCTTTGCCACCTGTGAGGTGTTCCCACTGTTCCTAGATTCCCACCACGACAACACTAGAACGAACATCGTCACATGGATAATTTGTTTTTGCCACTTTTGAATTCTCTCCTGAGAATAAAATCCGAAGTGGGAGATCTCTGAATCTTGTTCTGTCATTTTGCCGTCTTGAGGGGGTTGAGGATGGCATTCCTCGCTGGGCTGTTCAACAAAGGGACAGACTGGCTTGGGCGGCAATGAGCCTCCCGTGCCTGGAGGTGTGCAAGACCACGGGGGCAGCCATCCGTTAATCTGACAACCATTCACTGGGCCTCACAGTGAGCACACAGGCGACACGGCCCCTGGCTTCCTGGAGCTCGCAGCCCAGGGGGCAATGGCTCACGGTGAGTGCCATGCTGTGCTGTGAGGGGACACTCGGGGCCATTTGCTGCCCTGCTTACACCACGAGGACCCCACTCCAGTCCAGCGGTCACGGCTCTGCGAGTCAGTACGCACCGGGCCTGGGCACTGAGTCCCTGGGGCCTCACCTGAGCTCCAGCAACCTGCAGCTCTCCCTTCATGTCCCCCACACGAAGTAATGTGTTCTGGGGGCTTCCAGGCCCTGTTCAGTCCTGACTCTAGACCAGAAGTTGCTTGAGGCTTCCCCTCTCTTAGTTAGTGGATATTGAGATGATGCCTGCAGGAAAGCAGCTTCTAGAGAGACTCACTTCTTATATTTTTGAGACTCCATGGGTGGCTTCTCTGGGTTGTTACCAGGGAGTGTGCATAGCTCCCACCTGCAGGGTATTGTGAGCTGTTGGCCATTGCGGTTGTCTGAAGGAAGTCTGGAGACCTGACTCCCTTTGGGTTACTGTGTGACCTCCTGCCAGTCACTTTACCTCTCTGTTTCCACTTCAGGGAAGTGGGGATGGTAATCCAGTGGAATCCAGTTCCAGCCCAAGGCTGGGCTACTTTGCTCCTTCCCCTTCATGGTCCATGATCAAGGTTTCTAGAAATAGAATCCGGATTTTCCTTTGGGGACCTGTTCCCCTACCATCTCAGACCGTGGCTTTGGAGTGGGGTTGATCCCACTCCCTAACTCCAAGTGTGGGTCTTGATGTAGACCTGGCCAGTGAGATACCACTGTGATTGGCTGAGAAATGGGTCTATCCCAGCCAGCAAGTGGCAGCACTAACACTTAGGCTGAAAGTACTGTGTGACAGGCATTCTCTTCCTGGTGGGGTTGATAAGCCACAGAGCCAAACCTTGAGCTTCTGGGGGCAATCCTATCATCAAAGATAGAGGATCTATCTGGAAAGATGCCAGAACAGAGCCAAGACATGGAGAGAGACTGGTTTCTTTTTTTTCTTTTTCTTTTTTTTTTTTTTTTAAAGATTTTATTTATTCATTTGACAGAGAGAGAGACAGCGAGAGAGAGAACATAGGCAGGGAGAGTGGGAGAGGGAGAAGCAAGCTTCCCACTGAGCAGACAGCCCGACGTGGGGCTCGATCCCAGGACCCCGGGATCATGACCTGAGCCGAAGGCAGACGCTTAACGACTGAGCCACCCAGGCGCCCCGAGAGACTGGTTTCTTAATTGAGCACCTGGATACAGCCATGCCTGAAGCTAATGCAATTATGTAAGTCAATGCATTTCCAAGCCAGTTTGAGCCTGACTTCTTTCGTTTTCTTCCTAACTGTTCTGTTGACTCCAGTCACAGCCCCTTCCAGCATAACTACTGACTAGGAGCTGGACTCATCTTCCCAAAGTACAAATTTGACCCTGTAACTACTGTTTAAATCCTCCCATGGCTCCCCAGTGCCTTCAAGATAAAATCCAAATTCCTTAGCCTGGTGTTCAAGCCCCCCAGACCTGGGTCTGTCAACAGCAGCTTCCTTTCCTTCTCTGTCCCTCAAGGGCATTATATTCAGGTACACACTCATCAGTCCCCACAACTTTATGCCCTGCCTCACGCTCTTCCCTCAGCTTCAGTGCTTGTCTCCATTGAACTTCCATTCTGTGTTTAGTTCTCCAAGGCCGTTCCCAGTGGAGCTGGGTAGAGTTTTGCACACTGAAATTATTTGCACATAGAATCAGTAGGAGGGTATGTTATAAAACGCAGATCCCTCATCCACTGAGTTGGATTCTCTAGGGATGGGGCCCAGGGATCTCTGATTTTAATAAAAGCCTGTGAGGATCTTCCACTCTCCTGCTGTTTGACTTCCCCCACTGAGTCTCAGTTGCCTGCTCTGTCAAATGGGCATAATATCCCTGAAAAGATGATTTATGTATATAAAGCCTTAGCATGACAAGGGGCACTTAGAAGAACGGCTGTGATAGTCATCATTGTTACTCTGTCTTGTAGGGTGACCAGCTCTCCCCGTCCCCCGGGGACTGAGGGGTTTCCTTGAATGTGAGCCTTTCAGTTTTAATGCTGGGAAGGTCTCAGGCAAGTCAGGATGAATTGGGTACTCTACATCTCTTGCTCCCACCCACCCCCGGATCAAAGGCCTTGCTTACTGGCTCCCTGGGCCAGTAGGAATCACTAAATCGGGGGCCCCAACAGAAGGGCTGTAAACTCAGCAAACAAAAGCAAAAACCATTTTTGAAAATATTAAGAAATGGCGTTTTCCTTCCAGGAGTCATGTGGTCTGCATGTTGCCCTTCATCCCACTGAAGGGGTCACATTATGACCCCCACCCTACATTCCCTGGCCTCTCAGCCTCACTCACATGCATGGCGGGACACAGGAAACCACGTTGGCCGAGCTCTGGCCCAAGTTTTCTGAGTTCTTGACGCTCCAAACTCTACCTCTAAATATTCCCTCCATTGGAGTCTTGAGAATTTTTTTTTCTTCCCCTGCACTGAGTTCCTGGATTTATTTTGAGCCAAACAGCTCCTCACCCAAACTCCTCTGCCTCCTTTTAAAACCCAAGGCCACGTCCAACCTCGTGGGCCCAAACCACGCTTACATAACCTGCAGTGACACTAAGTGTTTGTGAGGCCAGCCGGAGCTCGAGCACAGGGGACATTCTGTCCTGCAAAATGATGCTGTTTGGTGTATGTGTGTGTGTGCGCGCGCGCGTGTGTGTTTTTCCCCTCCCGAAATTCAAAAACAGCTCCTTTTGCTCAAGCTGTCGAAAAGAAGAGGAGAAAAAAAACAAAAAACAAAAAACAAATGTCTGCAATAATTTCAGTGTTGGGCCCAGATCAAGAACTGCAAATGCTAAGAGAATATTTTCCAAAGTTGTGAGGCGAGTAGGAGTCGCCGAGTTACGGGAAATCGGAGGCTGACCTTGTATAATTTCCAGGGGCCCTGTCTCCTGGCTCGCGCCTCAACGGTGGTGATGAGATTTTTCTTTGATCATCATCGCTCGCACAATGATCTGGTCCCTTCCAGACCAGACCATGTGCCAGGCGCTTCTATCCCTCATCTTATTTCTTCCTCGCAAGCAGGTCCTCTTCTTATCCCATTTTGCTTAGGAGAAAAATCAAGTTCAGAGATGTTGAAGGGACTTGTTCCAGGTCAGTATATTGGTTATGGGAGAGTGGTGATTTGAATCCAGTTCTCCCTGACTCCAAAGTCCAGACTCTCACCAGCACGTGATGTGGATGTAAGCACCTACTGTATGCAGATGATATGGTTTCATCTTTCCTGTGGCTTTCTTGCTGAATATCCAGCTAACATGTAGCTTTCAAACTTCTACCCCGTCTTCTGAAAGTGGCATTTGGTGCTTCCAAGGCGAGAGTTATGTTCAGGAGGGTGACACCTGGAGCCATACTGTGCGCCTCACATAGATGAGGCTGTGATGAATGCCCCTATAACCCACTTCTTGGATGGAGAGACCTGAGGCCCAAGATCAAGCCCAAAGGGTCACTTAGCTCAGAATCTGCCTCCGTGAAACAGGCCAAAGAGAAAAAGAAACTGCTGGCCTGTTAAACACCTACGATATGCAGGATGGACCTTGTCTGGTTTAATTTTTGCAACAATGTCTGAAGCCAGGTGCTGCTCCACATACCTGCTGTAGAAATGGCAAAAGGGGGTTCAGAGGAAAAGGGATTGCCCAAGGTCACATAGCCAGGAAGCAGAGAAACCAGGATGAGACCCAGACTCACCCATTCAACTGGTGTGTCCTGAGCACCCACTCTGTGCTAGATGGGGGCCCTGGCAATATGGAGGTCAATGAGACACATTCCTGACCTTAAGAAATCTAGTTGAAGAGATGGGTCATTGACCTTACGAGATGACAGCATTGGGAGGGGGGTAGCACCTGGGCACAGGAGCGCTCAAAGGAGCCCCCTGGACAGTCAGGGAGGGCTTCCTAGAGGCAGTGATCATCTATATTGAGACCCACCAGTCTGGGAGGTCCGTCATGGCAGAGGGTGAGTTTGTCCTGGTCACCACTCCATTCCCCAGTACGGTGCGTGGGACATTTCAGACGCCCAAAATGTGGGCATGAGATCACTGAATGAATGGGAGAGGTCAGGGTCGGAGGCAGTGATCGTCACAGAAAGAACAACGGCCCCTAAAGATGTCCAAGTCCTAAGCCCTAGAACCTGTGAATATGTTTCCTTGCATGGCAAAAGGCACTCTGCAGATGTGATCAAAGTTAAGAATCTGGAGCAGGGAGATTATCCTGGTTTATCTGGGGTGGAGTCACCGTCATCATAGGAGCTCTTCGAAGTAGAGCATCTTTCCTGAGTGTTCAGAGGGACATGTGACTGTGGAAGAATGGCCGGAGAGATGCCGCGTTGCTGGCTTTTTAGAGGGAAGAGGAAAGCCCACGAACCTGGCAAGGGGGCAGCCTTGAGAAGCTGCAAGAGCCAAGGAAACAGAATCTCCCCTCCAGCCTCCAGCAAGAAACACCTTAATTCTAGCCTAGTGAGAGCCCGACCTCCAGAACTGTAAAATAACAAATGTGTGTTATTGGAAGCCATTAGGTTTGGAGTAGTTTGTGGCAATGGCATCAGGAAGCAAAGACAGCGGACGAGGCTTGCAGGCCCGGGGAACAGCGTGTGTGCAAAGGGCCAGAGGTGCGAATGGACATACTGTGCCAACAGGAGCCCTGAGGCCGGTGTGCCTGCCGCTTTCCTCGCCCTTACTTACCCAGACAGATTGCCAGCGACACGGACGGGCCCTTACCCGCAAGGCGGGCACCTGAAGGCTCCCCTGGGTGCTCCCTGTGTGCACCCATACGCACGCTCTCGAAAGCCGGCTGGGGCAGACCCATTGGCAGCTCGCACTCAGAGAATACCCCTCCTCTCTGGCCTGCCTTTGTTCTGGGGATTTTGTGAGAACAAGGTGAAATAGGGCCCTTTGGAAAAAGGAAGAAGCCTGGGCCAACCTGAGGGATGTCACCTATCTGCGTGGAGCCCAAAGTTCGGTCCCTGTTTTGCTTTCACGGTCATAATACAATTTCTTGAAACAATGGGGTCTCCTGCCTGAGCTTCCCCTGGGCCCTGTGAGGTCCTGCAGAGCCAAGAGCAATAGACCCGGAACGTGGAGGAGGACAGAGATGCGTAGAGAGGTTCCCTCACTACCCAAATGCGCCCAGCATGGGGGCAGAGCTCAGCTGGTCTCTGTGTCCTTTGATGCTCTTTCCTGTCCCCCATGCCGCCTCCTGCCTGAAAGGGGAGTGACGTAGACGTATGTTTTTATTGTGGCAAAATACATACAAACTGATCATTTGGACCATTTTAAAGTGACTGATTCAGGGGCACCTGGGGGGCTCAGTTGGTTAAGCCGCTGGCTCTAGATTTTGGCTCAGGTCATGACCTCAGGGTCCTGGGATGGAGCCCCGAATCCGGCTCCATGCTCAGCAGGGAGTCTGCTTGAGGATTCTCTCTCTTCCTCTGCCTCTGCCCCTCCCCCCGCACTCTCTCTCAAATAAATCAATACACCTTTAAAAGAAAATGAAGTGAGTGATTCAGTGGCATCGAGTACCTTTACAAAGTGGTGCAACCATCACTTCTAACTAGTTCCAGACTATTCTCACATCCAAAGGAAACCCTGTACCCATTATAACAGTCACTCTTTATGCCCCCCTTCCCCAAGCTCCTGGCCACCCCTAATCTACTTTCTGTGTCTGTAGATCTGTCTGTTCTAGACCACTTCACATAAATGGCATCGCACAATACATGGTCTTGCGACTGGCTTCTTCCACGTAAGCAGAGCGATGTCCAAGTGCATCCGTGTGTAGCGTGCGTGTGTCCTCCGTGCCTGTTTAAAGCTAATATTCCACGTTTTGTTTATCCTTCCATCTGTTGCCGGACACCGGGCTGCTTCCACTTTTTAGGCTGCCAGGAGCGTTTTGGTTGGAACCCCAGCTTTCAGTCCTTTGGGGCATTTACCAAGGAGCGGACCTGCTGGGTCCCGGGCATGACTCTGTGCTTAACTGAACTGCAGGTTTAAGTTGTGTCAGCACAGAATCTGGTGTAGCGGTGAAGGTCAATAGATGTGTGCGGACATGTCCACCTGCTCGTTAGCTGCAGGCTGGTGCACGCACGTTCTGCTTGCTGTTGGGGCTGGGGCGGCAGCGGCTGAGGCAGGCATGCCCTCCAACCACATAGACAATCTGGGAATGTGATGTGTCCCCCGAGGGAGCACTGAGCTAGGTGACATCGGGGCTCCCTCTAGGA